GGGTACTGGGAAATTACCATCGTGTGACAAAAACTAGAAGTCCCCGCTCATGGAATATTACTTAACGATATTGTTACTTAGTTGCCCCACTATTAAGGGTATCTTAAATAGTGGAATGACATAACAGGAAAAAATATGGGGATTATTGTAGGTGCGTTGTGTGTTAAGGAAGAGAGTACCAAATTTTATTATTTATTTTATTTATTTTTTGAGGCCAAAGTCTCTCTGTTGCCAGAACTGGAATGCTTAGTGGCATGATTCTCAAGCTGTCACTGTAAACCCATCTGCCTTCCCGGTTCAAGCGTATTCTTTGCTACTCAATCCTCCCGAGTACGTTGGAACTACAGGCGTGCGCCACCACACCCTCGCTTTAATTTTGGTGGTATTTTTAGTAGAGAATGGGGTTTCAGACCATGGTGGGCCAGATGGTCCGCCAAGAGTCTCTGTCTTCTACGCTGGAGTGCAGTGGGCGCCATCTCGGCTCACTGCAACTAATTCCTGGGCTCAAGTGATCCTCCTGCCTCTGGCCGGGCTGGTCTCCTCCTTGGCCTCCCAGAGTGCTAGGATTACAGGCATGGGCCACCACTCCCAACCAAGGGTAGCAATTTTACATCAGCCAGGGTAGGCTACACGCAGAATGAGATGTTTGAGTAGAAGTCTGAAGGAAGCAGAGATCACACCATATGGAAAGAGTATTCCAGGTACGGGATACGTCTCAGGACGTAGCTGAGAGCCCTTGGAGAAGCATGGGGCATGCCTCTAAGGTTTGAGAACATGAGGCTAGGGTAGTTCAGAGAAAGCATTGGAGGTAACAGAACAGGCCTTGTAAAATTTTTGTTTTTTTCTCAGAAATAGGGTGGCCATTTGAGGGTTTTCAGCTGCGTAATGACTTGCTCTTCCTTCCAATTAACAAGATGGTCTTAGAAGCGAGAAAAAGGTGAATTAGGAGTTCATTGTGGTCATCTAGGTGCAGGTGGTAAGAAATGGTTGCATTCTGGGTGTTTGTTGATGGTACCAGAAGGGTTTGCTGATCTGTGATTGGATAAGGGTCATGGATGACACCAAGGTATGGGGCCTTGGAGTTGAGCTGAAATAGATAGGCAAGACTTATGGAAGAGAGTGGGTTTAGGCAGGGAGAAGATATCAGGAGCTCAGTTTTATTTATTCATTTACTTATTGAGACAGAGTCTCGCTCTGTCACCCAGACTGGAGTACAGTGATGTGATCTCGGCTCACTGTAGCCTCTGCTTCCTGGGCTCAAGTGATTCTCTCACCTCAGCCTCCCCAGTAGCTCGGATTACAGGTGCTGCCACCATGCCCAACTAATTTTTTTTGTATTTTTAGTAGAGATGGGGTTTCACCATGTTGGCCGGGTTGGTCTCCAACTCCTAACCTCAAGTGATCCACTTACCTCGGCCTCCCAAAGTGCTGGGATTACAGGTGTGAGCCACCGCACCCAGCTGGGAGCTGAGTTTTAGATATGTTCATTTTAAAAATGCCTGTTGGTCATACAAGCAACGTTTTTGAGAGGGCAGCTGATGAAAGCAGAAAGAAAGATGGACTCGAGCCCATGGTGCAGTGGTCTCCAGACTTTGGATCTTGTTTTTTTTGTTGTTGTTGTTTTTTTTTTTTTTTGAGACGGAGTTCTGCTCTTGTTGCCCAGGCTGGAGTGCAGTGGTGCGATCTCGGCTCACCTCCGCTTCCTGGGTTCAAGCCATTCTCCTGCCTCAGCCTCCTGAGTAGCTGGGATTACAGGCAGGCACCACCACGCCTGGCTAATTTTGTATATTTAGTAGAGACAAGGTTTCTCCATGTTGGTCGCACTGGTCTCAAACTCCCATCCTCAGGTGATCCACCCGCCTCAGCCTCCCCAAGTGCTGGGATTACAGGTGTGAGCCACTGCGCCCAGCTAGATCCTGTATCTTTAATAGTAAAAATGTAGAAAGCACATAGCTCCAATATATTTACTGATACATATATGTACTAATATATACATTACAATATAAACTGAAGTCAAAATTTTAAAACAAACATAACACATTATAAGGTGTTAAAACTTACAGATAAAGATGGTGTTACTGTATGTCCGTTTTCAACACAGTTACCAAGCAGTGTGCTGTTGGTAGCCACTCTGCCCCCCCAGCAAAGGTCAGCAGGTCTGGAAGACAGCTCTTTGACAAGGAGATCATGATCTAACCTCCGGACCACCAAAGATTTTCATCTCATTGCAAAGCATGGTAAAGATTACACTACTTAAGGATCGTGGTTTTGTAAATATTAACTTAAGCTGATGACGTCCTGTAATATACAAACAGTGACATCACCCTGACACAGTGAAAGCAAAGAAATCAGTGAAACAGTCCTCTTCGCCTCCCTCCCCCATGTTGTGTTCACCTTATGTACACGTGGGACTGATCCATTTAAGTGCCCTAGTGAGGGCGCAGGTCAGTCCATTTCTTGGTAGAGATTAATTCTTTGTTAGATAAAGATAGAGACAGGCCGGGCTTGGTGGCTCACACCTGCAATCCCAGCACTTTGGAGACTGTGGTGGGAGGATCACTTGAGCTCAGAAGTTTGAGACCAGCCTGGGCAATGTGGCAAAACTTCATTTCTATAAACAAAAAAAAACGAAAATTAGCCGGGCATGGTGCACACCTGTAGCCCCAGCTACAGCTAAGGTGGGGAGGATGGCTTGAACCGAAAAGGCAGAGGTTGCACTGAGCCAAGATCGCACCACTGCACTCCAGCCCGGGCGACAGAGGGAGACCCTATCTCAAAAAGAAAAGATACGGCCAGGCACAGTGGCTCATGCCTGTAATCCTAGCACTTTGGGAGGCCGCGAGTGGCGGATCACGAGGGTCAGGAGATCTTAGAACCATTCCTGGCTTAACACGGTTGGAAACCCTGTTTCTCTTACTTAAAAATACAAAAATAGGCACGGGGCAACGGGTGTGTGCGGCGGTTCTGTCGTCCCGCGAGCTTAACTCGGGTC